CTCCCTCATCCCACCTCGACCTTTTTTCTCCCTCCACTTGCATGTGTGTGCTACACCCTCCTTTCCCCCTTTGCTTGCACATCCACTCACATCCACCTACATCACCTGGATTTCTCTTGCACACATGCATGCACCCACCAGTGCCTTCCTTCCTTGCCCCCACCCCGTGCTTGCACATACACATGTAACCCATGCTCTCTTTCTTGGGCATCCTTACATTCACATGCACTCTACATCCTTTCTGGGCTTCCCTATACTTGCATGCACCCTCACACAGGTCTCTCTGAACATACCATGAGCCCTCTTTCCCAGGCTCACCAACACACACTCCCTCACCAACACACACTATGCTCACCAACACACACTCCCTCCTTCCCTGGCCTCACTGCATTCCTATCGGTTGAGCCACACCGCAGCAGCCCTCTTTCTCAACTCACATATGGCTTGTGCTGGCCCTCTTAGGATCTCCCATACATCCTAAGTCACTGCCACAATTCCTTACCTGGGACATCCATGCTTTCCACTTAATGATTGACACATCTCAGGCGACAATGGCACCGGGGACTGCCTGAATTGCCACCACTAACCAATGTGGTCACGTGACATCATGCTTTATGACCACACTGTTTAGCAATGGTTCCCATTGCCATCGTAAGGACTACCTGTATTGCATTTTTGAGTTTTTTTTAAAGCCTATTATTATAACAGAGAGGAAAAATAAGGAAATGGAAACAATGGGTTTTATCTTGTAGGAAGCTTTTATTATATTTAGATGTTTTGCAAGTTTAGCTCAAATCTTATAAAAACTTTTCCCAACATTGCTCACATGTGCATAGAAATGGATCCTGAAAATCCATTTTAACTAAACCTGAGGATTATAAAAAGAATTGTTCCACTTCGATGCAAAGCTCCCTCTAGCGTTCACAAGAAAAAATCCATTTAAACTATTCATAAACACAAAACCAATGTCAAAAATTGTTCCAGTGCCTCTTTCTGTTGTTACAGGTGGTCCTCGTTAACGACCATTCATTTAGTGACCATTCAAACTTACAATAGCACTGAATGAGTGGCGGTTTTGACTGGACCTTATACTTACAGATGGCACAGCATCCCTTTGTCACAAGACCACAAACCAGATGCTCATCACACAGATCATGATCATGTTACAGCATCCCACTGTCCTGTGATTGCAATTTGTGACTTTCCCCGCCAGCTTCCCACAAGCAAAGTCACTGGGGAAGTTGATAGGCTGGAAGTCACAGTCAGGTAAGATCCTTGGTAAACAAGCTTCATGGTCCTTGCTTAATGACAGCAACTGGGATTGGCTGAACTGGTATGGCTGAGCAACAGTCCATTGACTTTTCAACTTTATTTATTTATTTTATTTTGTCAAGCAATTATAAGATAACAGGTATAAGTATAAACAAAGCTATGAATACATGAAATGGATACATATAAGAAAAATAAAAAGAAACAATAGGACAGGGATGGTAGGCACGTTGGTTTACATGCTTTACAACAGAGTTCCTAGTCCCAATTATTTCCAGTAAGTAAGTAAGGAAAAGCTGTATTACTAAGCACAATGCATTGAATGATATGTACTATGAAACTGTTCTGAAGGGCCTGGAAGCCTAATAGCCAAATGAGAGGTTGATGGAACATGTTCAGCCTTAGTTAAAGAGTGAGAGAAGGATAGCTCTCTTCGAGCACAAGAGGGATCACATAGAGCAAGGGTGTCAAACTGGCGAGCAGGATGTGTCACACTCAGGATGTGTCACACACAGGCCACACGTTTGCCAGCTCTGAGAAGGCAAACGTCATGATACGTCATGTGACATCAACGTGATGCAGCAAGTTTCACACCTGTGACATAGAGGAATATCAAGACCTTGAAACATAGGATAAACTGTTTAAAAAGTCCATGGTAAAATGGAAAAAATGGATAATAAATGAACTTCAAATTTTGCTTGCAAATATAGATACATGGGAAAATGCGTGAAACTAATGTTAAATTTGCACCGTGTCATAATTTAAGATATATTTTTAATAAAATGATATATCGTTGGACACCAGTCAAGCTGTGAAAATTGTATAAAGGAATACCAAGCCAGTGTTGGAATGGTTAAAAAATAAAAAGAGGATCTTCTCTCATGCATGCTGGACCTGTGAAAAAGCAAAGAGATTTTGGGTACAAATCCTAATTAGTATAGCAAATTAATATTATGATGAAACCATAATTTTTTCTATTGAGTTTTATGAACATTGAATAAGAAAAGAAGAATGAGAAATCAACATTGTGTACTGGCATTTGTGGCAAGATTACTCTATGCACAAAAATAGAATAATGAAATGTCCAAAGTAAAAGATTAGATTATAAAACTGGCAAAGGTGATCAGTTAGTTTAGGGAAAAACAATAAATACTTTTTGTTGAAATAAAAGACTGAGTTGATGATTTGGGAACCAGCTACATAGTTCTATGGGCTAAATCAGCAACAATAAAATGATAAGAATTAGGGTAAAATTAAAAATCTAGACATTAAGAGAGGAAGGGTTTATGGCTCCTGCAAAAATATATTCTTTCTCTCTCTGTCTCTCTCTGTCTCTCTCTCTGTCTGTCTGTCTGTCTCTCTCTCTCTCTCTGTCGGTGTGTGTGTGTGTGTGCGTGTGTGTGTGTGTGTGCATGTGCGCGCGTGCGTGCTGTACCAATTTGGTTATTCTGAATGTGATCCAGCAGTTTTCTGGAAATTAATTTCCATTTCTGATCTAGAAAATTAAATACTGAAATGTATTATAGTAGTAGGGCCTTATTCTGACTGAGGAATATTCATTACAACAACTGCAAATGGATATTAAGAGATATCATAAAACATACACATGAAGATATGTCCTATTATATATTTCATCTTAACTGCAAATGACAGTTCAAATCTGGCTACAGTTTTGGGTCCAGACAAGAATATATGTGCTTGGGTGTAATAAGACTGTCATAAACTAACAGCACTGGAAAATCCCGTCCTCAGATTTCTTTGATTTGAGATTGACCACTTTAATGAAACCACAACATACTTTCATTCTGGAATTCCTGACACTCCTTGAGTCTCAATATTCTATTGGAATTAAGCAAATGCAACATTATTTTTTTTGTCATGCAAGTTAGTGAGGGTATAAAAATAAAAGGAGTGTCAAGAATTCCAAGAGGAAATAATGTTGAAGTTTCATGAAGGTGGTCCACTTGGGTATGATATCTGAATGTGCTATGCCCATATTTAGGTTTGGATAAAAGATACAGTAGACACAGCTACCCTTTTTATTTATTTTATTTTTATTTTATTTGGTCTGTCAATTGCTTACAAGATAATAGGTATAAGTAAAAACATAGTTATGAATACATGGATACATATAAGAAAAATAAACATTAGGACAGGGACGGTAGGAAAGTTGGTGTGCTTATGCACGCCCCCCTATAGACCTCTTAGGAAAGGGGTGAGGTCAATAGTAGAAAGTCTAAACAAGCTCCCCTTTAAGGTGCAGGTGGCTAGACTTTTGGTCAGAATGATTACCTGTTCTGTTAGTGCTTGTTACAGCCAGTCTAGGGGATAAGCCTTGTTGTGGCTTATTTTAGTTCAATGTGCCACCCAGAATAATAAATTTTGAGTTGAGCAGCTTTCTAAATCTTTAAATAAACAAAGCCAAAACTTGTCTCATTTCCTTGATATCTAATGTAAATTCAGGCAATTACAGGTAGTCCTTGACATACAACAGCTCATTTAGTGACCGTTCAAAATTACATCACTGAAAAAGTGACATGACTGTTTTTCACGCTTATAACCATTGCAGAATCCCCATGATCACGTGATCAAAATTTGGATGCTTGGCAACTAATTCATTATTTATGATGGCTGCAGTATCTTGAGATCCTGTGATCACCTCTTGCAACCCTCCAACAAGCAAATTCAATTGGGAAGCCAGCTTCATTTAACAACCGTGTTACTAACTTAGCAGCTGCAGTGATTCACCTACTAACTGTAGCAAGAAAAGTGTTAAAATGGTCACTTAACACATTCTCATTTAGCCACAGATTTTTTGGGCTCAATTGTGGTCATAAATTGAGGACTACCTGGTACACTTTATTCAATAAACTGTGATCCAAAAACCAGGGCACATATTTAATAAAGATTCCTTTACAGAATAAGAGTTGGAGATCTTCTAGTCCAGCCCCCTGCTCAAAATGTATAACATATACATTTTCAGACAAAAATGGTTGTCCAATCTCTTCTTAAAAACCTCCAGTATTGGAGCACCCACAACTTCTGGAGGAAATTCGTTCCACTGATTAATTGTTCTGATTATCAGGAAATTTCTCCTTGGTTCCAGGTTGCTTCTCCCCTTGGGTTAGTTTCCATCTGTTGCTTCTTGCCCTGCTTTCAGGTGCTTTGGAGAATAGCTTGACTCCCTCTTTTTTATGGCAAACCCTCAAATACCTGAACACTGCTAATCATGTCACCCCCTAGTCCTTCTCTTCACAAGACTAGACATATCCAATTAATCTTTGCTTTGTGCAACTCATTTAAGCATAGACCAAACCAAGAATTCACCTGTCCACCTCTTTGGGATAAGTGTAATTTCCCAAGCTATTATCTGCTCTACTTATTTCACTTATTTCGGGTAAATAAATCATATGCTCCCCCGCGGAGTTTAAGGGGGGGGCGAGGAAGCTAAGCTCTGAGAAACGATACCCTGCCCTCCTCCATTCTCTGGATTTGGGAGGGAATGCAACTTCCACCTCATAATTAAGGCGGGGGGGAAGAAAACACGCGCGAAACTGCAGGTCGTCTCGCGGAGTCCCCCCACCCGCTTCGGCCAGCGTTCCGACTCTGCGCATGCTCCGCCTTCTTCCCTCGAAAATTCATGCCTTTGACGTGCTCTCCTGCCCATCACTTTCTAACCCCGCCTCCTCAGGACTACGCTTTGAGCATCTATTGGCCGGCACTTTCCCGCTTCCTTCTTCCCCTTTGACAACCCGCCATTTTGAAACGTTGTTGATTTTCTGTGAGGAAAGTCAGTAACGCCAATATCACCCCCCCCGCACCCCTCTTCTGGTAAACACGGGTCGTGCCCTCCTGAAGCGTTTTGTTTTGTCGCCGTCCGAGGGCCGCCTCCGTCGCTGCTGGGCCCGTTTTCTTAGAAGCGCCCTGAAGTATCCGAGGTGGGTGTTTCGGTGTTGTCGGGATAACGGCCGAAAAGAAAATGCTTATGACAGGCCCGGCCGGAGGGGACGGTGTGCTAGTGTCCGAAACTCGGCCGGGGGTTGGGGGAGAGCCTAGCGCGGCGCCCCACAGAACCGTTGGGAAAGGGGAAGAGTCCCTCAGCGCCACTCTTCCCTGCTCCCCTCAGAGTGGACTTCAATCCCGGCCAGCGCGTGGCCTGACGTTTTCCGCGGCTCCAACTGTTATTTTCCGCCGGAATTCTGCTGCCTGTCACAGTCCCCGCCGGCTGCCCGGGGCTCTGTGCTCTGCCTTCCGAGGCTGCAGGAGCCTTTGGTCTTTAAGCAAGCAGAGGTAGTAAAATGGGAGAGAGGAAGGCGCCTCTTGGGGACGCTGTGTAATTCCTCGGCCGCGATATTGTATTATTGTTCTCCATCTCCTCCTTCGTGTAATTCCGTAGCCTCGGTGCTCTTCCTCTTCATATGCATGTAATTCCATGGCTGCAATCTCCTCCTTTGAAACTCAGGCGAGCAGACTTAATATTCCTACCTCCAGTTTTCCCCATAACAACAACCACGCGAGGTAGATTGGGCTGAGGAAAAGGGACGGGCCCAAAGTCATCCAACCGACTTTTCACAAGTTGCTGGGGTTTGCAATTCTGAGGGGAAGATGGGAGTGTTTTGATTGCCCACTTGTAGTGCCTAGATTTTGTTGTTGTTATTACTGGTATTATTATTATTGGTATTATTATTGGTATTACTACTACTACTACTACTACTACTACTACTACTACTACTACTACTATTGGCAGCCTATCTCACCAATGTGCTACTGCCTCCAGGTATTAGCTACTGGAGAATTTGTTTCAAAATAGCTGCTAAAAGTTAAAACATTGAAGCTGAAAAACACTGTGCAACTCAGGTCTTTTTTGGTGTTATTCAAAAAAGATATTTTGTTTCTATGAGCTAACAATCTGCAAACATCAATACTGCATCAGAAAACGACCCACTGTATTTTAGCCTGAAATGCTGTGGGAAATGTACCGGGATGATTAGTTTATGGTATAGCATGGACTATTATGCAAGACCAGATTATTGGTTATTTCCATTACATGTTCCAGTTGGTAAGCATGTTGTACACTTGCTCCACCAACTACATGAAGTGGTCTCTTAAAATAGTCTGTTTATATCTGCAGAGATAGCAAGAATTGCCTCTTACAGTGAAGAAAACAAGTGTGAAAATCAGACACAGAATGTTGTATTGGAGTTTATTATTTAGCATTATGCACTGGTGTCCTTATTCAAGCAGCTTGGTTTGCAGAGCTAGTAGTTTGAGTTGTACTGCCTTATCCAAAGTAACTGTTGAATTTAATGGCTGAATAGTGTTTTTAAACTTGTATTTCACTTCTCAAAAATTCTGAATATTGTAAATAAACTACATTATTAATGCAAAGCTTCACTAACTTAGGCAATTTTAAAAGGGGATAAATGCATTCAAAGAACATAAGGCTCTCATTGCTGAAAAACAGTATCCCTCCTGACTAACAATTTTTGGTAAATGCACTTGGAAGATTCTACTCTCGTTTTCTTGCACGGTGTTCATATGTATTCAAGTGATCATGGTCTAAATTGATCTTTATTATGTTCTTATGTATAATAGTGATTTGGTCAAAATGAACAAAGATTTTATACAAGGTTGCTATATCTATACATCTGAATTTTTTTGGTATTGATTATATACATATTAGTTATATTAACAAAGCCAAGAATTGATTAATTTCAGCATTAATGTCTATTTGGAATTCTGTCTGTCTCTGTATGAAATTTACCAAGCAGATATATACCAAATGCCTATTTAAAATATGTATTCAACATAAAATATTGAATAATCCAATGTATTGAGTGATCCGTTGCCATTTTTTATAGGTGAGACTAAGGTCTGTCTAGTTCAGAAGTATTTGCAAAGCTACACTGGGTCATTCATTCCATATCAAGTGGTCTGGGGGTCCCTTCTCAACCATCACGGATTTCAGTGAAATTTTGTGTGAACATGCACACATGTCCCCAATGAACATTGGTAAAATGTTACGTTTGCCGATGCAGTACTTGCAGAGATATAGTCATTTGTTTGACCCCATACTGCAGTCTTCTACAGTATGACTTTGAGGTTCCAGCAACTTTGAGACATAATATCTCCGGCAATATTTTGTTGAGAGAAACAAAACGTAGCCATCTTATACAACTTTTTGTGCTCTATTAAACAAAATAATACAAACGTTCTCATGAGCGATCTCCATCTAGATAATTTGGAGCAAAGTTGGCCAAAAATATTGTGGCTCGAAAAAAGGTTAAAGTTTGGCTTTTTATATCTCTGGAAGGAAATGTATGATGAATGTGAAACTTTGTGTGTAATAACTTAGCAATACAAGGTTTTCGTATATACAATTTCATTCTCCTACTGCTTTCCAGTAGTTTACAAATTGAGTGTAAAGTTGACGGTTTTTGTAAAAATTCCAAAAATAGGGTATTTCAGCCCGCTTTTACAAAAACAGACCTTCTGGAAACTCTGTTAAATCATTCTCATTAGAAAGACCATGTTTCAAACTCCCTAAAAAACTAGGGTTTTTCATCACTGATGTTGGGAAAAAATTGTTATCAACTTACCACCATGGTTCATTTTATTCTAACGAAATTGGGCTGCATTATGTGCACAGTTTGCTGCCGAAGAAAAAATACTCATTACTCGGCAATCGGAGGTTGAGCTCACAGACAATGACCAAATCTGCTTGTATCACAAAGCGATGTATCTGAAAAAGTACGACATGAAGCAAAAGTCGTGCTGCAACCCAAATTCACATAGCTAAACATGGGCTGTTGAAAGCCATGTCCAATGATTTAACAAACGTGGCGAAAACAAATGTGAAGCTGGGTCAAAAGATTTGTTACAAGTGTAAAGCCAAACACATTTCCAAGGTCCAAAGCATGGCAGACTCTTCGTCATCAGATAATTATGATATGGACATTTCGGACAAGTATTCTAAGTCAATTTTGATTAATTTCATATTGTCCAATTCTATTTAAGTAAATGGAAATCTCTAGAATTGGGATATAATAATTTGAAATTGTGTGCTAAAAATTATGGAAAGCATTATTTTGAATGCATCTTTCTGTTGTTTAGTGTGTTTAATGCAGAATATATTTTACTTAATTTGCAGAACGGCTTACTCTAGAGCAAGATTTCAGTTTTTTGATTCCATGGCAAATTTGGGTGCTTCCATCTTCCTATATGAGAGGATATATGCATGAGGTGCCTTAGCCATTGAAGATAGTGCTCATATTTTTTTTTTTTTTGTCAACTGCATGCCCCTTTTAGGCTTAGATATTTTAAATCCATATATGAAAAGATTGCCCACTGGGACCTGAATTTACATGGTCCTATTTCCTCTTAGGCTCTAACATATACATTTTTAGCAGAACTGCTAAGTTTACAGAGGCAGTTCAGCTAAGAATTATACTGAATAAGTCAGGGTATCATGTAGAACAGTGGTCACCAACCAGTGGGCTGGGGACCACTGTTGGTCCACAAGAAAATTTTGGTGCTCCGCAGAGAAATGTCACCCCCAAAGCACACCCCCCCCAAGCAATTAATGTGGAGTGTGAAGGATGTGTGTTTGTGTTTATTTTCATGATGTGCACTGAAGATGGTGTTTGATTTCGTTGTATGAGATGTAATGACAATAAAGTAAACTAATTAATCCAGGCTGCGTAGGAACACAAGGCTGTGCTGCCCGCATGGCCCGCAGGAACACAAGGCTTGCATTGCTTGCATTGCAAACAACACGAGGTAGTGAGGGGAGGGGGGGGAACTTGCCCCACTCACCCAACACTCCTCACCTGGCCACGCAAGGAAAACAGCAAAAGTCTTTCTCTCCCCCAAACTCTGCCAGAAATGAGTCTTTGGGACCCTGCAAGCCATCCTACTCCAAGAGGCTGTGCTGGCACGATAAGTCTCACAAAGACACACTCTCTCTCTCCCCCCTCCCCCTTTGATGTGGTCATAAAACTATTCAATGGATTATCCATCTGCTTATTTACCAGTAGTTTGTCTTTATCTGCGTGTTTATTAGCTATATGATTTATCTACCAGATAATGTTGAATTTATAGCAAAATATTCGCATGAGATTTGTGTTGAAAGTCTCAGTAGTAGTAGTAGTAATAAAATGCTTCATACTAAGTTGATATTTTCCCGTATATCGTCTATGCAGAAAGAAAGCAGATATGTCTTCTGTTTCTGAAAAAGATGATTTACTTTCTACTGAACAAAAAGAAAAAAGAGAACCACGAACTGAAAACAAAGCTGAAAATAGTGAGGATGATGAAGAGGAAGAAGAAGAAGAAGAAGAGGAAAAAGGTGAGTGGAATTTATTCTAAACAGAGATTCAAATGACTGTATAGAAGCAAGCTATTTTCAGATCCCATCTTCCTCTGGCTCCTTGTCACTTTCAAGTAGAAACTCTCCAGAATGGAGTTTATTGTAGAGAACAGTTAATAATTTTTTTAACATTTATTTTCTGTTCATGATAAATTAAGATGGAGAACTTCAAATTGAGGGACATGACCCTTAGTAGTCACATTTAAAAGGGGATCATGCTCATTCTTTGAAGAAACTGACTGTCACTTTGTCCTGGCTGAGTGGAAGCATGGTTTGGTATTGATAAAGCTGTTCATTTACAAGCCAAGCTTGCACAAAGAGAGGGGATAGAAAAGAGAAATAGTAACAGTAAGTCTCAGTGAACCTCACCAGATTTGCCTGAAATGGAAATGCACTTCTCAATGTGAAAGAGAACATACTATTATTTTTGCTTACATAAGAGAAGCAAAGACAAATTTCTGGTACAACTCCAGCAGTCTCATTTCACTGTTGATGCCTGTAGATCTGCCATAGGACCAAGAAAAAAAAGCTACAGTGTTTTCCACAGGCGTTTTCTGTTGCTAAGTTACTATCATATTGCAACAGGTACTGGCATGCCCAGTGCTTATACAGCCCAGGAGTGGAGACAGGCTATCTGGGAAGAAATGTGCTGAGGAGAGTTCTGTACTGTCCATATGAGAGTTCTGTACAATCCATATGTGCAAGATTCACCAAGTTGTCTATCTCAGGTCAGGCATGAGACCTGGCTCTGATTGCTGTCTTAAGATTGCTTGCCTGTGTGGGACTGACTTCTAAGCTAGTGTAGGAAGTTGTCCTGCTGACTTAGATTCCTCCAAAGGGGCTTCTGGGATTAGACACCAAAAAGATTCCCCCAGAAATAGGCAAAAGAAGCAGCCAATATTAGCTGCACCATATTACAGGTAGTCCTTGACTTTCAACCACAGTTGACCCCAATTTTTCTGTTAAGTGGTTAAGTGAGTCATGCCCTATTACCTTTTTTTGCCACAGTTATTATGTGAATCACTGCAGTTGTTAAGTGAATCATATGGTCGCAATGAATCTGGCTTGGGAAGGTCACATATGGTGATCATATGACCCCAGGACAGTTCAACCATCAGGAATGCATGCCAGTTGCAAAATGTCTAATTTTTATCACAACCATGGGAATGCTGCAATGATCATGTTAGAATTGGACAAAAGTCACTTTTTTTAATGGCTTTCGAACAGTCACTAAATGAATGTAAATTGATGACCTGTAAATAATAAATAAATATATATAACTCCACTCTCCCTGAATATGGTTGTCAGACTATACTTTGACAGGGCTCCCATTGTCTGGGCTTGTCCAGGCATATGGACCATGTCACTTTGTTGTGATAGTTCTGTTTATGGAATGGACTTGTCACACAAATGCATTTAATTTAGCAGGTCATGGCACCAAAATGTTTGAGCTTTGCATTAAGTCTCTAATAAGTTTAGTACTTTTATTAGAATTATTTATGTAAATGCTTAGTTGAATGTCAAGCAATATTTGATGACATATTGGGAGGTAATATTTTCATTTCCAGGGATTTAATTCAAAACATTGTTATTAATTATATTCACTAATCATGCTTAAGAGAAAAGAAGCATGACTATATACAATGTATTGAAAAATATTTTGTTGCTATTTGTTCATTGTCTTCTGCTAACTAAAAAAGCTTTTGAATGTATAGTAATTCATATTTGTGTTCAGTATTCATTAAATACCTGCTGGTCAATTTGCGATTAAAGATTCATCTGTTGAGATTGCATCTATCTACAAAATCCTTTGGTTCCCCCAAAACCAATGCACTTCCTAATTTGCAGGCAACAGTGAAGAAAGTGTAAATATACTTGGGGTATAAAAAAAAATAGAAGTACCAAGACAAAGTAGAGAGTTTTACCCTTATAGAATTGTTCCAAATTAAATTTATTCACTTTTAACACCTGGAAATTATGTTGTATATTGTTAGTTATGCAAATATAATAAAATTATTTTTAAAAGCTTATTGATATTTTTACTAGCATCTCCATTTTAACTTTTTAACGTTTCCTACTTTAAGTTATGCTTTTAGTTCCAAACTTCGTAATAAGAGACACTATTTTTAATGTATGCTTTGACATTTTCAAATGTAAGAACATATTTGATGTTAAACTACAATCATTATTTTTTATACGTATAATGTCAATGTTGAGTCATGCAGGCAAATATGTTGATTTTCATTTATTTATTGCATGATTCTCTGGTTGACAGTCATCGTACTCAATGGATTCATTCTATGGTGTAGGATGCAAATAGACAACCAGAGGATATGTTACTTGGTTAACATCATAAATTATGCTATATATTCATGATTTTTGTATTGAAAGTGCTTGATAGGAGATAATGCATAAACTCCCACTGAATCATCAACTGAATGTGTTCTACTGTAGGTCTGAGAGGAGATCACTGTCATCTACTGCTGCCTTCCCCACCTCATATATACCAACAGTAGCCAAATTTCCTACACCTATCTCTATCCCTCTGGGCTCTATACCTCTGGTGATCTTAGAAAAATATGTGTGAGGTCCATTTCATAGGCAAAAGGTTAGAAAAGCACCAGCCTCAAATAGTAACTCCTTGTTTGAAAGCTTGTGCTGAATAACTAGCCCCCCTCTTCAGGCCGATCTTTAATAAATCACTGGAGATGTGTTATGTCCTTTCTTGCTTCAAACTCTAGTCTATACCATTATCCCATTTCCAAGTAAATCCTCCATCAGGAAGCTGAATGACTTTAGTCTAGTTGTTCTGATATCTGTTCTAATATCTGTAGTTATGAAGACCTTTGAGAGGTTAGTGCTGACCCACCTGAAGGTCAACACGGATCCACTGTTAGACCACTTGCAATTTGCCTATCTAGGGATTCCTCTGAAATTTGCAGATGATACAAGTGTCTTGCCTCACTTGAGACTGTGATGAATGTGCATATAGATTGAACAACTGGCCATGTGGTGCAGCTGGAACAGTCAAGCTAAACAGGCTTAAAACTAGAGATTTTAGGTGATTCTGTTTCTTTGCATGTACACTTAGAGCTTCTGAACCAGAGACAAATTCCTTGTGTGTCTAATCATAGTTTGTCAAATAAACTTATTCTATTCCATTCCATTCCATTTGTGGATTAATTGTTAAATTTTTTGAGCATCTGACTACATCTACTTTGCCAGTATTTTAGGTCAGAATGCTTTTTCAAGTGACATATACACTTATTAAGCCTACATATTACCCTATTTTCTGGGTTATAACATGCACTTTTTCTACCCCCAAAAGTGGGTGGAAATGTGTGTGACTTATATAGGGAATGTTGATGAAGCCCCGCCCACCCTTCGGCCTCTGCCTCCCAGCAATTTGCCTCCTTGCAGCAAACAGCTTGGTCAGCTTCAGCACAGCCTGATTAGCACAAACTGCTGATTGTCGGTAGGATCGGCCTTCCAGTGATCAGCTGTTTCAGGCTGCAGGAATTGCCATCACCTATTGCCGCCTCTGTGTGCCCCATTTTCAGGCTCTGCATCCCATTTTTTTGCTTCCGCGCGCCCTGTTTTCGGCCTCCGTGTATCCCATTTTCTACCCATACTGATCCCTGCCACTCTGAACAGGCCGAAAATGGGGCGCACAGAGGCTGAAAACAGGATGCGGAGGCTGAAAATAGGGTGCGTGGAGGCTGCAATAGGCGATGGCAATCCCTGCAGGCTGAAACAGCTGATCGTCGGGAGGCCGATCCAACCTATAATTAGCTGCTTGTGCTAATCAGGCTGTGCTGAAGCTGACCAGGCTGTTTGCTGCAAGGAGACAAATTGCTCAGAGGCAGATTCCCCCCCCCCCCCCCCGATTTCCTCCCCAAAGGCTAGGTGCGTCTTATACTTCGGAGTATCTTATACTCTGAAAAATACGGTACTTTATTTTTGTTATTCTGTACAGTAATTTCAACCACTTTCCTGACTGCATGAAACTTATCAATTGTCTTTCAGAAAAGAGCCTCATTGTTGAAGGAAAGCGAGAGAAGAAGAAAGTAGAAAGATTGACAATGCAGGTGTCATCATTACAAAAGGAACCTTTTACAATTACACCAGGCAAGCTATTTATTTTACATATTACACTTTTCTTTGTTTGAAATCAAACAAATATTAATTGAAGAGAAAACCTTTGTGCATATAATATGAAAGATCATATTTGTAATTTTCTAAACTATCCTATGTTCAGTATTTGGGACATTTAATGTTTATTTTGAATCAATATTGCAATAAATATGGGGATGGGCTTTGGTTAAAGCAAATAACAGATTGGCTAAAATGTAATTAAGTAACATTGTTTGAGTATTATAACATAATATTTGCCTTTTCAGGAAAGGGTCAAAAACTTTGTGAAATTGAAAGAATACAGTACTTTTTAAGTAAGAAGAAAACTGATGAACTTCGAAATTTGCACAAACTACTTTACAACAGGCCAGGCACAGTAAGATATCTCATAACATATTGTTTTCAGTTGATATATAATGATTCTATGAAATCACACCATTTCTTAGATTGAGCACATTTATAAGCTGTATATTACCAGCAGCCTACAGCAATTTGTAATATCCAGTATATTCCAATCACATCCAAAATTTGAAAATATAATATATAATGTAAACAAAATAACAAAACCATAAATAGTTAAAATTATCAGAAATTGGCTTATAAAAACATGGCTTCGTTCTTAACAGATTGAAAACAAGTCTTCTACAGGGGAAATGCTAAGCTGTAAAAGTAAAAGTTATAAAAGTAGGCAGTGGAGGGATTCCAAGAATATTGGAGGCATTGCCATAAGGTCTGGTAAATACCAGATGAGCCTGTTCCTGGTGAGGCACATATTTTATTTATGGCTCTTAGAATTAAATAAATTATCTTTTGGTTAACAGTAGTCCTTGACTTAGAATGGGTCACTCAATAACATTCAAAGTTATGAATTTAAAAAAAGCTACTTATGACCCATTCTCAATGTTACAACTGTGGAACCCGCACCCCCATGTTTACATAATCACATATTGGGTGCTTCGCAATTGGCTCACATACACTGCTGGTTGCAGAGTTGCCCAATTGTGTAACCATGATTTGCAATATTTTCCAGCAGAAAATGGCAAAAAAAAAAACCTCGCATTGGATTCTGGATTCTCTTAATGACCACACAATTCGCTTAATGACTACAGTTACAAGCTTTACAACCATTGTAAAAATGGTCAATACAGCTGTTATGTATGCTTCAACCTATAACTACAACAACTTTGACCAAAATTGTGGGCTTAATTATGGTCATAAGTCAAGGACTATCTGTATTTGATCCCAGTTTCCTTTCATTTCCAAAACAAATAGTAATTGCAACAAAATTGCTGTTCAAGAAAAGTAAGTGTTCATACCTATTGGCAATGGAAAATTGGCTACAGGTTTCCTTGAATCCTTGTCTCAGCTTTCAAATAAATATTTTTCTATTTATAAAATATTTTTCTGTTATTAAGTGTCATTTTGATAAATATGGGATCTGCTAGTGCTGGGTCAAAGTACAATTCATTTTTTGTTACAGATCCCAAATATTTTTTATTATTATGGTTCGTCACACAGCTAGATGTTTAGACTGGATTTGGCATTTTTGTCCACCTATCGAGTCCTTCCCACGGTTAGGCAGATGTTGTTTGATTATATTAAAGGTAAAAGGTATTATGGCAAGATGTAAGCTGTTCTGAGTAAGGTTGCCTTTTGCAATTGGCTGGTGGTGATTTTGTAAATGCTGATCCTGTTCTGTTCAATGGTGTTTTAGATTTTCTGGTACTGCCCTTAAGGTGCCTATTACTACTCTTAATATATTTGCTTTCTTTTGCCAGTCATTTTATTTCTATTTGCATATGTTTGTATTCTGTTATTTTCTCTAGTTCTTTCTCTTATTTTGCTGTCTCCAGGCACTGCCATGTACACTATCCAGACATTTTTGTCTTTTTTTATCGACAATGTTTATGTGGCAGATGTCTGCCAGAGCACTTTAACTTCTTTTAACTTTTTCATTTTCTATTACATTGTTTCTTTTATGGTCCTAACAATTCTTGCGTGCAGGCAAATGGTATTTTTTGGAGATCTTCCAATGCATCATTGTTGTCGTGTTATTTGTGGTCAGTCTGTGTCATCTTTTTGCAACAGCTAATTAGGTGGCCCACAGTTTCTTCAGCTTCTTTGCAGAGGCAGCATTTGCTGTCTTGCTCTCTTTTGAGTTGTTGCTTTGTGTGCATTTGTTCTTAAGGCTTGGTCTTGTGCAGCCAGAATTAACTCGTCTTGTTACAGATGGGCAGACTCCATTATGATCGTATATCAAGGACTACCCTGTAGTTTGATTGTTACATATTTATTCAAAGCTGACATGAATGGTTTGCTGTCTGATTTTAAGGCTACACATATGTACTTTGATATTTTGACAATTAAATGAAATAAAGAATATTGCAACGTTGTTTTATACTGACCAACTCTATTCTTTTTTAGGTTACTTCATTGAAAAAGAATGTAGGGCAGTTCAGTGGCTTTCCATTTGAAAAAGGAAGTGATCAATACAAGAAAAAGGAAGAAATGCTGAAAAAGTGAGACTTTAACATGTTTAATCAATATAATTAATGTTCAAAATATTCAGAGCCTAATGTGCATTTCCAGGACAAAATTCAATTAATAACTTCACTGTACAAGTATTTCAAGTCATATCTGTGAATATAATTTAATATAACTTGACATTATACTCTAACATAGCAGATAAACAAAATATAACTATTACCTTAAATTATACTAAAACATATTGTTGCTGGTATGTTTATAGCATATTAGTTACCCTTGTAGTAGCTTTGGAAATTTTAGCTTTGGAATTTAGCAATGTAATCATTGATATTTAAGGATTTGATGAAAAACCAACTTTTATTTTGGAGGAAATATTAAAAGTCCTCTACTAACAAATGTTAATGTTTTCTCTGTTTATTTGCATTAACTGTAAGGTCTTCCACAGGTATTTGCTATTTATGATTAAGAGAACTTTTTATGTAATTTTATTTCATGTATAGGGCATGTAACAATCAGAACAATAGTCAGTATTTCAATTTTCACTAATTTGAAGACTACTTGATTCATGTAAGTGATTTGGATATGTTGTGTGGAGACTAAAACAAAAAGAAGCATAAAACATATTAATCTAATTGTCTATCTGCAAAATGATGGTAACACTGATAAGGAGTGTTGATTAAAGTTTGAAAGGACTTGAAGGCCTCTGCATTTTAAATACATTGGTCTACCAAGGATTAGATTAGATTAGATAGATAGATAGATGGTAGATAGATAGATAGATAGATAGATAGATAGATAGATAGATAGATAGATAGATAGATAGATAGATAGATAGATAGA